GACAACAACAAAAGTTCCCCTTAACTAAATCACCTGAATCCCTCTTTACTTGGAGGCCAGGCCTCTGGGTTTTACATGGGCTTCTGTATCATCCTCGTCCTAGAATTTCTGCATAGTTTTACCACCACACTTCCTCAACTCTGTCATTTTCCTCAGGTTATAAAAATGTAGTCTTGCCACATGATGTTGGTTTGTGCAAGGACAACTCTGATCTGTCACCCCTGGCTAAAATTTCAAAATTAAATAAAAAATAAAAATAAAAAAATGTAGTCTTGTTATGCCTGTGACTTGAAGAGAAGCCACTGTAACTAACTTTTGGAAGGAATGGAGTACAAAGAAATAAATGAGCTAAGTAAAAGGGCCACTGGAGAAATCCAAAGCATAGGCAGTGGAAATGCCATATAGGATGCTAAAGGATGGTGACAACCACAGAATAGAGTGGGGAAAAAACCCTCTACACAGATTCACAAACTGCTTTTAGGATCTTATAAAATCAGTAACTAGTCTTTTTTCTTTTTTTTTGGTACTGGGGATCGAAGTTGGGACTTGCACTTGCAAAGCAAGTAGCGAAACCACTGAGCTAACTCCCTGACACAATAACTAGTCTTTTACACTGAAGTGGGAAGAAGAATATTGCGTCTGCTTTAAGACAGGGTCTCCAGGACACCAGAAACTGGGTGTGTCACCAAGCTCGGCCAGTGAAGGAGTGGAGAAGATCAGGAACCAGAAATTAGATATTCTGGTACAGGGAAATACAGTACAGCTTTGGAGTCATAGAGACTGGGTTTGAATTCTAGCTCAGCTCCCTATCACTGCCTTTTGATAAGTCTGGCATACTTTCTGGACCCTGAGCTCTTCATCTATGAAATGAGGACAATACCTCCTGAAAGCAGCGAGAGTGAGGGAGTGGCTAGAAAGCACTCATCAGGGTTAGCATGTGGCAGTGCAGAGTAAGTACTACCACTGGCAGAGGTTCACTTCCTCTCGCTGCCTGGCAAGACCAGTATTATTCTGCTGTCCTTATTCTCCTCACTACCTGTCACTCTCTCTGGCTGCTGAGCCCCACCTGGCCAGTTTTCCAGAGGTGAGAGGAAGAGGAGGCCTTACCGGTAGTAGGAAGTCGGCCGGGGTGGGGCATCAGGGGTGTCCTGTTCCAGCTCCCGGTACACCACCTCTGGCAGCTTGGGTGTGGCACTTGCGGAAGCATTGTGGTGGTGGTGGTTGGAATCCTTGCGCTTCTCCTTGTTCTTATGCTTGCCTGACTTGGGAGTCGCAGCCGGTGTCTCTGTGTTCTCCTTGTTGCTGCCATTCTCGGGGGCCTCCTCGGGAGCTTCTTCATCCTCTGACACCACATCCAGGTTGTCAAAGATGCTGATTCGGTGGACACGGCCGTGCAGGTCCACCTCCACCATGCGCTGAGCCTGTGCGTAACTCATCACCTCACGGCCCGGTGACTGCGAGACTTCTGAAGGGCTGGGTGACTGCTTGTTGGCTGGGCGTGACTGGCGTCCCTTCTTCTTGTGCTTGCGGAGTGGAGTCTGCTGTGGGGGTGGCGGGTTGTCGTGGTCATAGTGGTACAGGTGGTATTCAATACCACTGTAACTCTTGTACACCTTGCGACAGGTCTCCACAGGGCACTCGTATGGTGGCTTAGTTGCCCGCAAGTTGTGGCAGAAAGTCTTCACATCGAAGTCCACCCCCATGCTGTCACATCTGGAATACACAGATCAGTCAGTACAAGGAAGAGCTCTCGCCTACCCACATCAGACAGGCACTATCCAGTCTTTGCCACCTTTCTAGCATTACCTCCACCATGGCCATGTCTGACCTTTTTACTAAGTAGCAATGATCACATCATTTTTTTTTTTTTTTTTTAAACAAAAGCCTCCTGATACTCCCTACTTACTTTGGGATGACACTCTACACACTGCTTTCACTGTCTGGACCCAGTTTTCCTTTCTAGACTCTTCACCAGTTATAGCTCTATCTACGCAAAGCAACCCACAAACCCCTGAATGTTACGGCCTCTGTCTCATGTTGTAAGGTAATCTCTATTAGGAATGCCATTAACTGAGTGCCAAGGAAGTGCCAGGTCCTATAGATACAATGAGGAACAGGACAAACTAAGAATGCTCAGCTCCAGGGTGGTCCTCCAGACTGGCCCTTCCCCCTCCCCAATCTTCCTGGGTGTGAGCAGATGGCAGATGGCACCAAACTCCAGGATGCCAGCTTGGACAGAGACTGTCCCAATTTCTCTTGGCATAGTTGAGTTCAACATTTCAGCGAAGGGCTTAGCACTATCCCAGGCAAAGCCACCCTGCTCTCCAGGATAAACACTGACTCCACCAATCCTCTCTTCCCCTGAAGCTTAACTGAGCAAGTGGGCTGCTTGCCCTCTGTCGCCAGCTCCTACTTCCTACCTGCAGCCGCGTCTTTAAACACAAACCAACCAAACAAACAACCTCTCCTCTCTCTAAGCAGGGTCCCAAGTGAACGGCTCTGGCTCTGCTACCCTGGTCCCCAAGTGGCAGTGCGCCCACAGCCCACAGCAATGTCCCGCCGGGACCGGGCAGCGCAGGCACAGGGAAGAGACGACGACTTAGATGTTAAAGCCCTCGGGGAGCACACGGGCCCGGGGGTTGGCCAGCTGCCTCAGCCCCTAGCTCCCTGGGCTGGAGGAAGTGGAGGGCGGGACGTCCGACCCGGGCCGGTAGCCTCCTCTCCCGGATGCCGCAGGGTTTCCCCTTTGTCAAAATGGAGCAAATTAAGCGAGGCCCCCTCCTGCCGCTGGCCCCGGCAGCCAGAAGGATCCGGCGGCA